TGAAAGAACATTATTTTTACCCTCGCATCACATAAGAGCAAATACTTATGCTGATTTAATTCCGGAAAATCCTAAATTTAATGTTAAACAATCTTTAATAAAATTGTTGAATTCGTGTACACCTCAAAATATCACCAATGTACATAGGCGGACATTTGGTTGAATTTTGAGGGGGGGGGGCTATAATAATTCAATGTAAAATAACCCGCAGGATCTTCTCCCCCATACCCCCTTCCCATCCACAAGTAAAACTTATTACTATCAAAAATATAGATATGTTTAAATTTTATTAAAAAAACAATAAATAACGTATATTTAAAATTAATAATATTTTATTTTAATGACAAATATCTGTTTGTATCAGCAAAGATATTCAAAATATCATTGCTTTTTATATTTTTTGATATATGCATCTTTTTTTGATATATAATATTGAAAGATCGCTGAACCTATCTTGAACGAACGATGTCTTTAGCCAAGTTTTTATTTTTTTCATTGCACTGAAACTTCTTTCGCAAGTAGCCGAACTAATTGATATTGTTAATGCTATTGTAAATAGATTTTTATTATTTCTTATTAGACGATTTTCAAAAAAACTAATAGATAATTATAAAAACAACGAATAACATTTCTAACAAAGTTTCGATTTGGGTGGCTATTCAAATGTTTTAGGTGGGCTAAGCCCCTCAATATCCGCCTATGTTAATGTACAAGTCATAAAAGACTTATTTTCACAGAACCTCCACGGATCGAAAATATATACATATATAAAATCCGTTTAAGACGCTCTCGCTTAATACGATTTCCTGCGTAATACGCTCATATTTACGAGTCCCTTGATTTTGAAAGCAGTTAAATGTAAATGACTCCGGATTATAAATTTATATTTCCGGATAAGACGCTCTATGTCAATGATGTTGTGTAGTATAAAATTTATAATCACAATATCAAATCAATGATGATTTTCAAGATTTAGAAGTTTTCTGGGTATGTAAAAATTGATGATATCAATGATGATGATATCGCTACGAGTAGCCTTAGTATTGATCAGATAATTACTGATAACATTTCATCTGCTGATGTCAGTACTATAAAGGAAGAAAGTGAAAATAATATGGATGTTAAACACCCCCCATTGACTGTATTTTATGGTATTCACCAAATTGCAAACTTACTTAATTTGAATAAACGTTGTATACAACTTTTAGATTTTACATATTCTGTCCTAATATAATTATTTTCATTATTACTAGTAAACCCGTTGCGAAAATTCGAAATAGATAATTTATTTATATAATAAAAAATATAGGTGTAATCGAATCAATACATATCAAATACACATTACATATCAACACATTTTAACAAATCAATAAATGAGTATACAATCAAAAATTGAAAGACCTATCGAAATGACAGAGAGTGTTTATTAAAACTAATTCATAAGAACCAATGAGAATGCAGTATTTGGAAAAATTTGAAAGTAAATTTGATTGTGTACACATAACTTTTCTCAAACTCGACGAATTTAAGCAGTTAATAGCCCAAAAGAAAGAGTTTGATACACTGAGTGAAACGATGAAACGATCAAGATCCATTCATTAGAAGAGGAGCCATAAGAATTTGAATTGCTTGAGTGAGATTAACATAGCATTCGGATTGTTACGATGTGTTCAGGACGCGGATGTGAACAAAAAAGACCCGTAGTCGACATTTGAATGGATTATAGATTTAAATACGAATAAAATTGACGCTGGGTAAAGCGCCCCAGCTGCTAATGCTTTGAGCGAATTGAACCATTTAGAGATTGTACATTTAAGATGGTTAAAATGAGGCATCTATCTAAGTATTGGGTAAATTATTGAGTCCAAGTTATGTAATTGAATTAGATGGGACAATGGTCTCGTTGTTGGAGTAAACAGGAGGGAAATAAATGTAACATTTTCTAGTAAATATCATTAACTGGATTTTGTCCACTTTAGAGTTGTATGCACTTTTCACATCAACAAATGCAGCCATAAGAAACTCACAATTGCAGAAAGTATCATAAATTAGACCAACAAGCTTAGAAAGGCATTCCATGGTACTGAGACCGTATCAAAATCCAAATAGATTATCTGGAATTAGATGATAAGTCTCAAAATACAATCTAATTGATTTTTTAGCATACATTCTGTTAATCTGCAAAAAGCCAACGATAAAACGTACTCAACTTTAACAAAAGTAACTTTAGATATAAGGTAAAATTAGATAAAATATGTTAGTACTTTATAAGAGTATGTGTTCTAAGACATACAACAATATTTAAAATGTGATACATTTGATAAGCCTTTTGTATCGTTAATATGCATTTTAGTAGAACAATTATTATTCATTGTATAAATTAAAGTAATATCACACATAATCACATAAAATATTGATTATTTCCAAATTATACAGATATTTTTCATATAATCTTTAGTCTATTAATTGAACATCACCTCGGAAAAAATTCTTGTCGAGTTATTGATTAAATATTGAAAACACAACATTGCACCAACCTTTGTTCAGATATTTTTTATATATATATAATAATAATCAATAATCAATATACAATAGCATAAATGCACAATTAAACATTCTTTATGAATATTTAAAAAAATACATAGTATTTAATTAAAATAAAAGAAATATGTCACAGGTAATATATTAAATTTATATATAATTATTATTCATACATAATTAATATAAATGTATATATTAATTAAAATAAATATAATTCCAATATAAATGTGACCAAATATTATAATAAGTGCATTGATTATTATTTTTTACTTATTTTAATTTTACAACTATTCAATTATTTTAGGTATTGCTATTATTATTTTCTAATAATAATTCATTACATTAACAGTCTTATTTAAAATATTTAACATAAATTACATTATTGAGAACATTTAATTCTTTTTGCTCTATAATCCAAAGCATTAACACATACACACACGAATATATAAATATTTATAACATATTATTAATATATTAATATAATCTATTGATACAGAAACATTGAATGTAACTATTAATATTCATGTAGAAGTGAATTACAATTGTAAACAATTGATTTTTATAATTATTTATTACATACTTAAGTTGTGTAGTAAAAGTGTATCACAAGTTTTTAAAAATAATTTTTAGGTAGAAAATAACATACATAAATACCACTACAATTAAATTAGTTTTATTTGTTGGGGACAGTGTATAAAAATGTAGAGTTAGTTTTGAATTAATTTATTTTCTAACAATCTAGCATATAACAAATAATTAGTTAAAATATCTTTCTAATAATCAGTAAATCTATAGATGGTGTTATTATTATATAAGTTGTTTATTAAATGTATTTTAAGAAATATAAGTATTTTTATTAAAATTATAACTTTGGGAACATATACTTAGAGAATAAGAAAAATATGGGTAACTATTAATGAAAACTTTACAAATTTAAAATAATACTATAAATTAAAATTCTAAATTTTCTTCTTACAAGTAAAAAAAAAATTCTAAATTAAGAGATTAAAAAGCTCCTATTTATGAAGCTTAATGAATTAAATTAACAAAAAAAAACCATAATAACTGTCTGATATAGACTAACAGCATAATGCACTTATGTCTAAACACATAGTTGTTGGTTCAAACAATTAGAAGTTTCACTTTCAGGGAGTGACAACTGTTGTCACTGATGAAATTAAAACCACTTATTTCTAACATAGTTATAACAGAGCTTAATAATAATAATACAAGTTGAGATATAATTCCTTTAGATACAGACATTTCAACACAAAAAAGAAAACTGAATGTTAAAAATAAGAATGAGATCATCACAAATTTATTATTTTAACCAAGTTAATGAATTATAAAATATAGAGTGCATATATCAGTGCCAAAGTAAATTTAAATGGCATTATTTATGATTCCTTTAAGGCAAATAAATCTGTTAATTAAAGTTATTAATACTACAGTTCTAATTAAATACTACTTGTTATACTTTTATATTAGATTAATAGTTTACTGAATATATTAGCAATGCAAAATTTAATAAAAATTAGTTTAAAAGGATCATAAAAGTATAGAATAATTTATAAATTTGGATGAATTGTAAAAATAAAAAAACTATTTAAATAATTTGTGAATCCTCCTTTTATTTCAAAAGTTAATTGAACTTAACAAATAATAACTTTAATGTTAACATTGTTAACAACCATATTCTATATCACTTACATAAATACTTATGTTTTGATCTTCATAAACATTGGATTTAAACACTAAAAACTTTATGTCTGATTAATTTTTATTTTCTTGCATGAAATAGGTATAAATCAATAAAAATGTGTTTAAAATTATACATTGATACATGAGATAACATTTAATTGAATAGTGTTTTTACTTCATGACTAACATTCATTAAATATAATATTATACATTCAATAAATATAATAGTGTACATTTGTTTTTACTTTTAAAAATATATTAAGTTCTAAACCCAGATTCAAAATTTTAATTTATAAGTTATATATTATCAAATCCAAAAATTAACAAATTATAACCTGAAAATAAGTTTTATAAATATATTTTAACATTAAATTTTAGTTAAATATTATTAAAATAAAATGGCAACAATTAAAATGTTATGTATTAATTTAATATTTGACAGTTTAACATTAAATAACTAAAAAATAATTATGTTTTCAAAACATTTAAATATTTTTCTATTCATAGAACACTTATAATTTTTAAATGACATCTAAGGCACATATTAAATTTTATTTTGGATAGATAACTATTTTCTATAAATAATTAAAATTAATATGTATTATTACATATAATTTAATAAATGATTTAGAAAAAATTGTTCTTGACGAATTTAAGCATTAATATTTAAAATTAAGTAGATTTTTTTTATCAATTTTCTATTTTCAAAAAAATAATTTTAGTTAAATTTAAAATACATTAAATGAAAGATATTTTAAGGTTTTTATTAACTAATTGCAAATTATGCAAAATGTTTGTTCCTCAATATTGTACAACAAACAAATAAAAAACAAATAATAAAAATTATTTATTTTAAATCATACTATAGCATACTTAAATAGCATCGTTATTTGGTTTATCATTTTCATCTTCTTCATCATCCATCATTTGTTTTGCCAATATTTTTGCAGTCTGAAATTCATTATAATGTTCTTTTCTTTTCTTTTCAAACACTTCTCTTGCAGCTAAAATTTTAAAAATATATATTATAATATTTGACTTTATTACTGATTTAAACAATTTTAATTATCATACACTAAAAACTAAAATTTGTATAAAATTTAAGATTAAACGCACCTTTAGTTTCTAAAGTTTCATCTTCAGATTCTTCTTCAGATTGAAATGAACTACTTCTTCGCCTTCCTCCTTCTTCAATTCTAGTAAATTAATTGAATTATAATTTTTCCAGATTTAAACTATTTACAAAAATTGAATTGATTTATTATTACTTTATAATTATTTTAAAATTTATAAAAATTAATGTTTTTACTAATATATATATATGAATGTAAAATAAGTAATTTTTCTAAAAAATTTAAAAACAGAACAAATTATGTAAGAAAACATCTAGCCGTTCCAGATGTAGGATAATATAAAAATATAAAACTGAAAATTCTCAAGATAATTAATACTGAAAAATGTTAATGCATTTTAATTTTAATATAACAACAATATGTTCACAATATGTAACACCTATATTATACCATAGTTTTTTTACTGTCAATAAAATATACAATCTTATATGTAAATATTGTACTGAAAGCAGGGGCGGATAACATGATCTGACCAGCCCAGGATAAATAAAATATAGTGGCCCACATGATCATATCCAAGTTCCAACAACACAATGACCAACTAGAATAAGTATGCAAATGCATATAAATTCGCGCTCTAGTTATCATATATTGGTATAATTTGGAACATTCATAAAACATATTTTCCCATTTTTGTTTTCATTTATACAATAATAAAATCATTGTACAAATTCAATAATATTCCATTGTTATTAATATGAATAATATTAATATTACCTATATTTCTTTATTATAATAATAAATATAAGTAACACAATTATGTTATGATTTTTGCAAGAAAATGTTTTCATTTTTTTGTTTTTTTTTTAATGTTTAAGTTGATATCTGCATAATGTTTTTTTTTATTTAATTATTCATTAATCAATCATTGTAAATTATTTTATGAGCATATTATTAAAAACAATGTTACATTTTCAGTAAAAAAAAAAAAAATATATTCTCTCTAAAACCGCAAACTGAAACTCAACATTTAGTTAATTTTCAGTTTTTAAAAAATTAAAAATCGTTACCCTGCAAAATCAGCTTCTGGCTTTTTAATAATTATTATTATTAAAAAAATAAACGGCGTAATCAGAGTGGCGGCAGTCAATATCATGTGGCGTATAATCAAAATGGTATATTACAATTTACAAAAACAATAATATAAATAGTTAATAACTATTATTATGATGTATAATTATAATGTAATTAATTATAATATAAAAATGCAGAGAGGTATTTAAGGAGAGGGAAAGGGTGGTATAGGTGTTAGAACACCTTCCATTGGCCATATTTTATGGTATTTCATCAAATTACAAACCTATTTATAGTATAATTTGAATAAACGTAACCAACTTGTAAATTTTACATATACTGTCTTAATATAATCATTTTCATTTAAATAATAATTTATATAAATACATGGTATTTATTAATGTAATATAAGGGAAGGAGGGCAGAGCCTCTCACTTAACATAAGTGTACTCAATTTTAAACATCCCAGTTAAATGAATTCTGGATACACCACTGCAAAAATGTACCTATTTGTCTAAACGACGAAACTCCAGAATCTTCTATAGTAAAATATGTTAAATCCTAATAGATTGGTATGTAATATTACATAAGTACAACTGACTATTGTATAACAGAAAGACGTAGTGACTAGTTGGAAATACGTTATATGAAAAACCTAAGCCTGCATTCGATAATAATAATAATTATTTATATTGGTTGATGACAACTACAGCAGAGGATTAATAAACACAAAAATAATACCCAAATTTCAAGATAAACACCAGGACGGTTAATTTAACCTATTCTATTCTTCATTAGCGTGATGATGCATGTAAATAAGGTGAACTTCCCCACTGTTCAGTCATACTAGAATATTTAAAGATTTAGGCAAGATTTAAATATATATTATCAGTATTATTTTTATTTACTTTTATTTGCATGTATGTACAATAGTGTATGTATAATAGAGTTAGTAGTAATATTTTTCATCGGCCATTTTCGATAATATAAGTAGCGGCAAACCGAGAAAATCTCGGTGTCTTGGCAGCCCTATCTATCCCTGACTGAAAGTACTTATGTAGAATAAATTATTATTTACAAGAAAAGAAATGGTAAAATCTATTAATGAACAGAGTTTTTGATCATTCTTTATAACACATTGGAGTTTAATTTTAATGTTTTAAATAAGCTAAGAGTTTTATGAATAGATATGTTTTACTTTTTAATGTCTGAAAACTGAAAATGTTTACCTTTTACTCAGTTCTTCTGGATTTACACCACCATCCATTTCATCATTCTCTTCATGAAAATCTCGTTCATATGGTGTTTTGGGTTCATCCACTTTCATATGGCCATAATCTTTATCTGGTGGATGTAAAGTCTTAAGTATGTTCATTTCATCCCATTTAGCAGACTTCAACTTCTTTTTACTAAAATGTTACCCACACAAAATAAGAAATTCTAATGAATAATATAGAAATTTAAATAAATTTACATTTTAATATACATTATAAATTTAATTTTATTTTAATTTAAAGAGACATACTCTTTTTCCTCATAGCTGACAGAAGGCTTTAGTATGCCTTTGGACGGTTCTTTTTTCAAATTTTCAGTGGGATCTTCGGTAACAAACGAACTCGATGTAGTCGATGTAGATGCCATTTGAATTCGATTTGATATTTAAACAAAAGTTGGTTTTTATCGAAGGACTTAAATAGTTACTTCTATAATGCACTGTCCGGGCTTAGTAATGTTTAATAAATTTGTTTGAAATTATTATCACTTAATTTTATTATTACTATGTATCCAATGTTACAATGATATCAAAATCCAACCATTATTATACAGTTGCAGTAACAATTTTTTTTTTCTATGACAACAAATGACTTTCCATGAAAACATATACAAGATTTAATTTTATACATAATTATATGTATTATATGTTACCATAGTTATTAAAAATTTGGTCCATTTTTGTTGAAAATATACAAACAAAAAAATGTAAAAGAATTAAAATTTTTTTTTGAAAACAGTATAACCTATTAGTATTTTTCCCGCTTTGAAAATCGGGAGATATTGTATAACTTTTATCAATATAAATTGTTTAATTGGATTTAGTAATTTTCGATATAGTTAGTAGGTACTGCTTTTTCAAATTTCGGACCTTATAATTTCTTAGGTCTTTATCATTTTTCGGACAAGTGCCAATCACGCCTTTCGATCAATGATGAATAAAAAATAGGTACTGAATATACTGTGTAATATGCATATATTACTAAGAAATAATAATACGCATATTCCTGAGTCAATAAGGAAAAACGTACCAAGAATAACTTTGCACACATAAACTTTAATGAGTGCCATGTGCCGAAAACAACACAATTAAAACAGAATCAAACAGAGTATATAAAGGCTCCGTTTCACCACCAACGGCAGACGTGTCCAGCTATTAGTACAAGCCCTTCTGAGTTTCGTCTTTGATATTGTTAGTGCACAAATTTATAATTTGTATCTGTATCTGCATTTGTATCTGTATTTATTAAAGTGTTTACAAGTGTTTAAATTAATTATTGAATCAATTATCCTACTCCAACAACATCATTACGATAGGTACCTGTTTTTATTGGGTACCACGTAACAACTGTTATTAGGTTTATGGTATGATATTCTTCGTAATTTTTTTTTTTTAATTATTAATTACATTAATTTAACATAAAATACTTATTAAGATCCGTCCTCAATAATAATCACTAACAAAAATACGAAAATAAAATTTAAATTGGACAACGATTCGGGTCATACTGTTTTAAAACGTTTTCCCTTATAATTCAGTTAATTCCATTGAAACTGCGATAATAATAAAGTAAAAATGGTACACTTATGGTTTAAATATTAAATTTAATTGTTCTTTTTTTCTGGTAACTATTTTGACAGGCATAAGCGGTACTACCACAGAATAAATGAAATCAGAGTGGTCACTTCTAAATGTAAACAAAATTCAACCACCATATTTTTGGAGTACTAATTACTTATCACACTAAAAGTGATAACATTTATTTTGTAAATGTCTTGAAAACATTGACGTACACGTGCTTAATAGTTATTATATTGACTCAATAAATATTGTGTATTAAACATTGTTAATTTCTAAATAAATAATTCTCGTATTTATTGTACATCAAAAAAAATTATTTATTTATTTACAATGGGAGTAGTGAAGTATGCTGTGAAAGGATGCAAAAATTCAATGAAAATTATTATTGGCATAGTTCTATCGCAGAATAAATTAAAATTATACCGTTTTACAATGTTACTAGTGGCAAACTGGCATATATTGAATGAATTTAAATGATGAATTGAAATACAAAATTAAATTTCAATAATTTTATGTAAATGCTACAATACAACAGCAGTTGTAATTAAATTAATTATCAGTCTATGCGTTAGGTAGTCACACTATTGGGACTCCAAAACAATGACCGAATGATTTTTGAACTTCCTTATGTTCTCTGTGTAAAATCTTATCGGTGACCATTCTGATTTCATTTATTCTATGGTACTACGGAGGGGCAAGGTAGACGGCTGTTCCCCCCCCAGCGAGTTCTAACTCTATCTCCCTATAGATATATCTAGTCCCTATACATTTCAAATATTGGTTGGTAATCCCCCTCATATTACATGCTTATTTAGAGTCTGTATGGTTGTAAGTAATAATATTATTATCTACAACCGTGGGAGCCATTCATGTAAATATGCTGATAAGATTTTTTGCGTTAACATTTTCAATATTATTATAATTTATTTTTATCATTGACAAATCATGAACCAATATTATTACTTTATTATTATCTGTATCACAAACGTTTTGTATGATTTTATACTTTGATTTGAAGTGTGTATTTTATTTAGTATTCTTGAGTTTTTTGGATAATATTAATTATAATAAGAATAATGAACACAAACCAAAGTAAAAAAATAAAAACTTTATACGACTTTTTCATACAAGAACCATCATAGGTGGCTCTACGAGGTGTATCGGGTGTGCCTTGGCACACCCTAATATGAATAATACGAATAAAAAAATTGAACAGTTACAATTGAGAATTTATGTGCATACACATTAATTAAATTTTAGTTTCTAATATTGCAAGTGTTCAGAATATGTTTGAAATAATAATTACATGTATATTTTACCAATCGTTATTTTACATCATTAACGAAGCCTTTATTTTTAGCATTTAAATCATAATACGGTCTGCACGTACGTGTTTGTAGCCTTCCCTTTATATTTTGAAAAAATAACCAAAAAATGACAGGGCACACTAAAATGTATCACTCTGGGTCCGCCTATGAGAACCATCACAGGTAAATTGTGGTAAGTTATTATTTTGAAATTTTATAAGATAAAATAATATAAATGTAGGTATTTGTAAGTGTATTATTCATTTTACAAAATAATCTTGAAATGTGTTAAAATAGTTATTGATAAAATACTTTTTTTATAGTATTGCTAGTCAAAAGATTTAGATAAAATAGTGTTAATATTTTACTTTAAGTATTTCCTGCCCCCCCCCCAGCCAAGAGGGTCTAGTACCGCCTATGTTGACAGGTATTTTTTTTATAAATTTTAATGGCCAAACCAACTTCCTAAGTTAAAAATTAGCTGACTTATGAATTTTTAAATGTTTGATATTAGTTGAAATAGTTGCATCACGTCAAGGTGATGCTGAACGGAGGATTACGTTTATTTATTTGATAACAAACAAACTACATCTATAGGCTAAAAAAATTAAAAAAATATCTCTGCAGTAATAAGAAACTTGCCCATGTCAATCTGTAGCCCTGGACGTCAAATTTTTGAAGGGCGACAAAATGTTGTATAATTTGGTGATAAAAAAAATTAATTTAATTAATTTAAATTTATTCTATATACCTACCCTAAAATAAATTACTTTTATTTTTTTATAAAATAAGTTATAGCTGAATAATAACAGTATAGCATAAGAAATATAGTATGGCTTACTAGCCTTACAGTGTGTAGACATATGGGCGGAAATATATTTGATTTGTGCTCCTCTATTTTTAGCAAAACATTGTTATTTTTCTCCTCGAGTTCGGTTATTCGACCGTTTATTATCAAATAAAATAGTTATAATTAAAAAATTATACATGTTTTGCTTATAATAAAATTATTACTATTAATGTTGTGTACAAAATTGGGCAAAGACCATTTTTGTATGTTGTGTACTGTGTAAACTGTCAAACATCAATTACGAGTCGCTGATCAGATTGATTTAAAAAGCATATGTGTTTTATCGTCTATACTTAAATGCGCGTCCAAACCAAGAAACATTTGTCGCCGATTTTGTCACCAATGTCGGTGACAAAATGTTTCTTTAAATGCCACCGACAAAATTTAAAAACAAGTGCGTCCACACCAAAGCAACATATTTGATAAACATACAACAGGATAATTTTCAAGGTGAATATATAAAATAATTGAATAACAAATACATTTTTACAAATATATTTAAGTAATTTAATGTTTTTGTTAACAGTTCATAATTCAATCAATCCAGGCTGTGTCTAGTGAGCCCTACGATTTGTAAAATTACATATTTTTAAAGTTAAATGCATATTTTTTGATTTTTCGTGCTCTTTATAGCGTATATTTTAGAGTTTTTGAGTGCATATTTAAGAGCTAAAAAGTAACATTTTTAATGCTACAACTTCTGAACCCAGGTAATGAGTATAAAAATAAAATAAAAATATGCACTGCGTGTAGGCGGACGAGGAAAAATTAAACGAAAACCAAATAAATAAATAAAATATGATGCATTTACTAAATGTTTATCGACAGAATTTGACTGGTCTGGGGACGTGTCAATTTATTGTCAGCAACAATGTATATAAACTTTGTCGAATTTTTCCCGCGTTGGATGGAAAACAAAAATTTTTCGATAACAATATCACCAACACAATAGTCGGTGACAAATTTTAGAAAGGGTTCTAATTTTTGTTGCCAACATTGTCGATAACACATGTTTGCGACAAATGTTTCTTGATCTGGTTGCGGCTTTAAATTAATTTAAAAGTGTTTGTTAAAATGAGTGACGGCAGAAAGCGTCTTAGTGGTTTTGCTTGTATGTATGTATTATTATTATTATTATTTAATCATAGGACAACAAGTACAATAACACGTACCCGAATAGATATAAACCGCCGCACACAGTCGATAGCCCGTTTAATATTTATACGTAAAATATTATGTACATCAAAATGAACTCTAAAGCCAATACTTCTAATTCAAATAATACACAACAGTCAAAAACTTCGAAAAAATATAAAGTACCTCCACTCATAATAAAAAATTATAGACTTCTCTCAGAAGAAGAAAAATCAAATTCATAATCTCCAAACTCCTATAATGAATTCAGATCACCACGAAAAACATTTTAAGAACACGACTCGATAAACAAAAATAAATTTTTCTCTACACCAAATCGGTATTCACCGTTAGAAAATTTGGATACAAACCAAATAGAAACACCCACAAACACCACCCGAAGACCAAACGAAAATTTAAACAATCACATTACACAACCACAAACCACAAATAATATTCCAAAAATACTTTCACTATTCGTAATAAATATATCGCAATTACACAGTTCCGCCAAAAGATAACAGGAACAATACAAAATGATTTTATAATTACAACAAAATTAAATAACATTAATATAAATGTCGAAATAATCGATGAATTTCGTACACTCACCAAATTCCTAGACA